GGAGTGGACGGGATCTCCGGCGCGGGTCCGGCGGCCTGTGGGCAGGTACCGGAGCCGGGGCGGGCGGGGCTGCCTGGCGGGAGCTGGGCCTGCAGGCCTTGCCCCGGTGTCGGCCCGGTGAAGTGCGCACCCCGCTCCCTCGATGCACGCCCCTGGCCGGGCCCTGCCTGATGGGAAGGGGAGTAAGGGTTGAGGGTGAGACCTTTTATTGGGCCAGCAGTGAGAGCAGCTCTCAAATGTAAGGCGCTCTCTACGCAGGGGCACGCAAGCTCGTGGGATAGAAATGCAACAGGACTCCCAATGGTAGAGTGAGAAAGACCTTTCCCCGTCCCCGTCCGCACTGTGGCGCAGGAATGAGGAGCCGAGCCGAGCCAAGCCGAGCCGAGAATAGCACCGACGTGTGCTCCCGGGAACGGGCAGTGTTTCTTTGCCTGAGGCAGAGCGTCCGGCCTCTTGGGATACTGACTTTGCATAGGCCCCCCCACCATTTTTAGCAGCAGCCTTAAAGGATGGCTTCTTGGGTTGCCTTGATTATTATAAACAACGCAAGTAAAACCTGAGAAAGGATCTCCTATTTCTCGGTGCGTTCTCCTCGCAGCTGCATCTCTCTGCAGTGCAGAGCGGTGGTTTGGGCACCAAGGTTTGTTAAAGCTGCACAGCTTAGCACCGCAGTTTGAGTTGTGGGAGGCGCTCTGAAATACGTAACCCCAATGTTGTGTTCGGGGGGCTGCAGAGTGTACAGGATTCCTGAGTTGTGTCGCCTTCTCCAAGATGCTGCAGCAACAGGGTATCTCACAGCATGCAAACCTGTGCATGTGCTTAATGTTGGCATTGGAGCCTGAGAGTTTCTTCAAACTGAAGAACAATGAATGGTTCAGAGTAACCAGAGTTGCTAACTGTTCTCATTCTTATAAAATATGAGAGACAGAGAAGAAACCGGTGGTTTTACTTTTTATCTCAAGACACAAAACAAAGGCATAAAAGTTAAACTGGTTTATTTTGACTCAGTTCCTTGGGTTTTTTCCCCACTTGGCCTCACATCCTGGTTACAAACTTATGATGTACCATCAGGATGGATGCCATTTGGTTAGCAGTGCAGAGTGCCTTGACCTGATATTGAATGACTTCTCCAGACACTGGAGAGCAGCTAAGTTGTATGAAGCAGGGACATTTGGGATCTTATTTTGGGTCCAAGAGGATGAGGACTGAATAGGATACTAGGGAGTGGGTTGTGGGTGCTGAGCAGAGAATTGAGGAAAGGACCAAAGGCAGTTTTCTAAAGTGATAAGGAGCAGAATAACCCAGGGTTGCCAGGTGAACAGAAGAGCTCCTCTCCCTCTCAAGAAACTTCCCCAGAGTCTTCTGGTCCCACCTAACTTAGATGTTATTTTCCTTGGCACACATCCCTACCTTGCTACACATCCATATCTCCTCAGTCCTATTAAGCAAACTTTGCTTCTTGCCCTCATGCCAGTCTTCCTCTCTGTCCCTTACTGCAGAAGAGTGGGACTGTAAGAGTAGTCACTTGTCTTTTTCTCGTCCAAGTAGCTCCTTAGCTTTTCCACTCTTTATGGGCAGCAAGCACCTGGTAAGCAGGCACCAAGTATCTGGTAATCAGAGGTTCAGGTTTGACAGTAATCAGAGGTGCAGGTTCTCTCTGTAAGTCATGTTGCACGTGTCGACTCCTCTCAACTGTTCCTGAACACTTTCTGAGTTACCAGCCCCTACCTCTTGGTCAGTTGGGAGCCTATAACTGGTTAGACTGGGTAGTGCAAAAAAGAAAAAAAATCCAAAAGAGAATAATGTATGTATTTCTAGAGAACATTCTAATTTTTAAAAGCATGACTAGAGCTGAAAAAGTGAATAGTGTTTTTGGGCTGGAAGAAGCTCCATTTTGATGAGCTAAATTTATTCTAGCTAAATTTATGCACAGTAGAGCATATTGGCACCATCGCAGAGCAAATTCATTGACAAACTGTTTAAAGTGTCACTGCCTGAAATTGAACTCTCCTACGTAGTACTAGGCATAGGTGCTGACTCTGGGTGCTCCAGGGCTCAAGTACCCACTGAAAAAAAACAGCATGTGCTTAGCACCCATGAGCCATGGCTGCAGGCTGCTTGCAGACATCAACTCCTCCCCTCAATCCGCCCCCCCACCCTTTACCAGAAGCAGCAGTGCATTATTTCAACCTTAGCTATTACATAAAAGTGCCAAAAAGAGCCCCACTAAACTGCCTGATCTTCACAGATGCTGGTGTCAGAGCTGGATTGAAGTAATGCGCTGCCTCTTCTGAGCATGCGCGGGGCTTGGCATGGGAACGCACCAAGTTTAAAGTAAAGCGCCATTTTGGGTTGTTTTTTTTTTATTTCTGCAAGCATTCACTGGCAAAAACAAAAGTCTGTGCCTATGGTACTAGAGAGTCCTGTGTCCTGTGAAATGTATCCATCTGTCTTGTACAATAGCAAACCTGGAAGGGAGATTTTTATGAAAGTGTGCACATAGTAGCAGGTCATGTATTTGCTTTCCAGAGACAATGCACAGGAGGTCTGTGTTGCTTCCCATTGGAACAGACTCATTTGGAAGGCACTCATGTGTGTGCCAGGAGAGAAAGATGTGTTTTTATAGGAGATAAAATGCATGTTTTTATAAGTATTTTTATTGGGGCATTTTCAGCTTTGTGCCCATCAATCTTGATAATGGTTCCCTTTAAATCTGAACAAATAAACAGAAATGTGGTGGCAACAGAGGCAATCCAGTAAGTCTAGTTGCGTCATTATTACATGCTGAGACCCTAGTTTTCCCTGTTGATATTCTTCAGCAAAGTGTTGATAATTTATCCAGTCTGCCCTATATGAAACTTTTACAATTCACTGTTTTTCAGTGATGTTAAAAAATACGTCCCAGTTTTTATTTCCAGATGATTTCCAATTTCCAGCAATTTCCAGATTGATTGCATTCAAATGTTGGCAGGTCAGTAGTGGTCCAGGTTTGAAGCTTTGAGCAGTATATTGCATGTTGCCTCATGCTGTGCTCTGACTTCATTCAGCTTGCTTGTCCATTATAGTGTTTATCAAACTCTGACCTGGATTCAAAAAAAATTTGCACTGTGTAAGTAGCCTTTCATATTCAAGTAGTCTCACTCACGTGAAAAATTCCTGGTATGTATAAGATTATGCAAGATTGTTTTTGTTCTTTTTCTAGTCTCATTTTGACTTCTGTCCTCATTAACTCATACATAGAGCAGTAGAAAGTGCAGCAGGCAAGGCTACACTTCGTTTGCATTCTGTGAAATAACTGCTGAAAATATTATAGTGCTGTTGTATTTGCTGTGTTGCAGATTCATGTTGGAATTGCAAAATCATTGCCTAAATCATTGTCAAAATGTATTGAATGAAAAAAATACTGCATATCGCAGAAATTTACAAATATGTTTTTTCCTTATTATGGGATAGTTATAAATAGCAGATATTTTAGTTTCTCTCACCTTCACTTAGAATTCTACAAAGACTTTAGAGTTCTGCTTTCCCTGTGAGGCAACCAACTCGGCTTTAGAAGCATGGTCATATGTGTAACATGAATTAGTGAGTCTGTGCACATGAGGGATGATACAAAGCTAAGATCCTCTGAAGATAGAAAATTAACCAAATATGAATATTTTCTTTCAAATTAAAGTATTCTTTAACAGAGAGTCTCAGCCAGGGGTGCTCTCCGCTCCTTTCAGTGATGTATTCTTAGGTGCATAAACATGATTCACAATATAAAACCAGAAATTTCAAATAGGAATCAATAGTGCTAAGTACATTCTGACCTGTCTGTTGTGGTCTTTCTGAATTCTTCGCAAAGGAAATTGCTCTGCTGTTTTTCCATAGTCTAAAAATCTAAGAGCTGGCATTTTTCAAGGGGTATCTTGAGTTTAACAAAAGGGTGACTTTAATGATGGGTGTCAATCTAAAAACAATCAAGAACCACTGCTTTAGACCTTCCTGAATTATTGTTTATCTTGACCACTTTCACGCTTATTTATTGTACAGCATTCAAATTTACTGTACAAATACTATAATTATTGTACTTCTTGCAAACTTTATCTATGGCCTAACAGTTGAAGAATAGTATTATTGCTGTATCATCTTAAAAAGTAATAGCACACTATGTATGTGTGCTATTTAATATATTTATGAAAAAAGTTTTAGTAGGTGGAGGGAACTTCATTTTGCAGTTGCTGAAAATGACAATGATAACGTTTCCCATGGATTAATTGCTATTCTGAAAAATGACTTTGAAAACAAGCGCAGATCTTACTCAACAGATCTGTTGTTTCTCTATATTTAGAGTTGTGTTTTCTGACTTCGGCATTAAGAGGAAGTTGTAATTGTTCATTATATCTGTTAGGTCTGTGGTGAGCAGAACTGAAGAAGCTCATCATCTGTTGTGGATCATTAACAGAATTCCCTATTAAGTTCCAGTCCTATCTTTGCAAATTATTGAAGGCAGTAAGACTGAACAGATATCACTGATGTCTGATCTGGCCTGCACTTCCCTTGTTTCAGGTGGTAAAGTCTGAGACAAGAAATCTAGCTTGACTGTTAAAGCTGAGATTGGAGCACTTTTGACATGAAGTTAGTTGGAGGCTCCAAGTATGAAGTTCCGGCATACCTTTTTTACAGAACCACTTTTCAAAACAGATCCACACTGAACGAACGGAATAAATCATTCTTCTTTAACAGAGGATTGTGCCATCCTTAAGGCACAATTTGTTTTCTCTTTTGGTTTTTCTTCTTCATTTATAGTCCACTAAATCCTTTTAGTTCGGCCTTATGTAATTAGTATACCTCTTTTATGAGAGGTAATTTATATTTCTGTTTTCCCTCCCCTTCTCAAGTGCTATAGCAGTGTTTCTCAACCAGGGTGCTGTGGCATCTTAGGGTGCCTTGAGAGCCTTTCAGGGGTGCCACAGGGTGCCATGCAGTGTTAGTACTGTTAGGTTTGCAAACATGACTCACAAGATGAACCCAGAGATTTGGAATTGGAATCTGTAGTGATAAAAATATTCTGAGTTGTTGCAGTCTTTCTGAATTATTTGCAACAGAAGAATTGATCTATTATTTGTCCATAATTGAAAAAATGAAACAGTACTAAGAGCTGGAATATCTCAAGGGGTGCCTTGAGTCTAACAAGGAGTGCGTTGTATCTAACAATGTTGAGAACCACTGTGCTACAGCCTGCAAGTTTTCTATTTGTTCTTTAATCAGTTATGTAATTCAGAAGTTGTTAATTATTTTGCTATGACTTTGTAGTTCTAAATTAGATGTGTAGGTTTTATTGTTTTTCTTTAATGATCAAGTCATTTTGACATTACCATCCTATATGTTTACCTAAATGCATGTTCAGAAATTGTGTGTCCTGTACTACTGCTCTTACTCTTTTCCTTTTGTATAGCCTTGGATTATGGGGTCATTATGTACCATGAATTGTCTGTTACTCTATATGGCCAGCCCCCTGTAGGTATATTATCTCATGCCCTAATAAATGTGATGTTTATCCAACCTGTTTAATCTTAATAAATGCATGTATATAGAAGAAAACGGTGCATAGACTTAGATTTCCTAAGTGATAGAGATTTTTAGATGGATCAGTTTTGGGTGCCCAGCTTGAAACACTTGAACAAGAACTAATTTTCAAAGTTGGGCATTCTATTATTTTTTGCAAATCAAGCCCTTTTACCAGCTGTGGTAGTGATTTTTGTTATGTGAGCATGTATTTGTAAAAACTCCCACTGTGGTTACCAATTTATGTAGACTAATGAAGAGTAATGATATATTTTCATTTTTAACTGCTACTAATCTGGGCTAAATTTGAAGCAGTGGATTTAGAGGTAAGCGTTTTCATATCCTGTTAGGAGTTGCCCGTCTAAACCTTACACTTTTTTTTTTAATTTCATCTATCTTCAGTGAAGGGAGGCCATTATTTATTTTGATGCTGTCAAATAGATGAAAATTTTGTTTTATATTATATTATATTAAAAAAAGTTGTGTAGCCATGTCATTTAAAAAGGTTTGCTCTTATATTTATATATAATGGGGTAATAATATACTTGCCTGATGAAAAATGATGTCAAGGGAAGTGGGAAGAAAATCTCAGACAAAAATTACTTAAATTTGTAGAGCAAATACACATTTTTGGTATTTGTAAATATACTAGTTGTAGGCGTGTGATTTTTTTTCCTTAACTTTTGGATTGTTATGCAGGCATGCTTTTTGTTCCACAACGCTTCCTCTGTCTTGGCATTAGAACACAACTACTGAAGACAGTTTCTTCTTTAAGATCCTTCAGATTTTCAGCCCTTGCTGTACGTATTCGATCATTTCATAGATTACAGTATATGTATGTCATGCAGTATTTATTTAGAGAAGTACTAAGTTTTTGATGCTGCCAATAAGCATATATTAGATTGGATGTCTGCTTTGGTTTAGTTCACTAAATCAATAAAAAAAATGAATGTTTGCCTGGCAGTTTGAAATTCATCCATCCTCAGTGAGAAAGTCCACAAAGCATTATTGCTTGTTATGCTAATCTTAGACGTTTGATATGAAGACTGTAATAAATTTTGTTCCAATCAATCACAGATTAAACCATGCTGGTATTATAATAGTGATTATTGCCCTGCATTTCTGTTTTGATCTTTAAAAGTAGTGTTAATGGACACCGGGGAGAATGTACAGTCTAGTTGCTAGGGCACAGGCCAGGGATGCAGGCGCACAAGGGAGACTTGTCCCTAGGGAAACACATGTTCAGACTTGTGGGGAAGATCCAGTAGGCTTAATACTGATGGAAGCAAGTGCTTATACTAAATGCACAGACTGGCTATGGTAGCATTGGAGTGATGTTGTGACCATAATGGTCCAGGAATTATGTGAAAGGCAAGGATTTCTGTGGGTGATGCTTTTTATTGAACCAACTGCCTGTCTGGGATAAAGTTAGACAAGCTTTTGAATACAATATGGAATTCATACTATAAGCTGTTAATGAAGCCAAGACCTTTACCAGATCCAGAAAAAGGTTAGATTTCTGTATGATCCATTAGACTATTTGGGTAAATTTGATAGGATATAAGATAGTTAAGTCATCTAAACAGACTGGGTCAGGGTATAAACAGACCTCCAAATTAGCTTGGAAAAAAACCTCCAATATGAGAAGGTTTTTCAATAATTACAAGGTATGCCACTGCTACTTGTCCCCAGGGAAACACACGTTCCAACTCAGGGGGACCCAATAGGCTTAATACAGACAGATCTCACAGGGGTGCCACTGCTACTTGTCCCTGGAGCATGCCCATGCCACGTGCACTCAGACGTGTAGCAGGTTACCCTGGTAGGGGAAGCTGGGGCCAGCAACCGTACCAGTCCCAGCAGCTTTACTTAGGGTTCTAGGGACTTCCAGGAGCTGTAGCTGCAGCGTTTCTGCAGCGGGGAGCCTGGCCGGCAGCTGGAGCATAGCTCCAGCCAGCCAGGCTCTGGTTTTGGACAGTGTGCACTGCTGCCATGTGTGTCACTCCGTTTTTTTTTGGTGTGTTTTGTTTATTTTTAACCCCGGTGTGACTAGGGCATCTTCCAGGCCTGGTACTAGCATGGCTCCGCTCCTGTCTCTGGGCAAACTGCTTGCCTTGTTTTCCTGCCGCACCTTGTTGGTAAATTGTTATGATGTAAAAATAGGTGGTAGGCTGCCCTTCGTGCACCGAAATGAACATGGACAATATATATATGCTCCTACCATCCCTATACATGTCCCATGCCTTGCTGATGTCCCCCTGTGTGATGATATTCCGGTTCAGGGCCGGGGCAAACTGGGCATACAGTTGTATCTTTTGCATACTGCCTCCTTCTGGGCCATGCACATGCCATCCCCTTCTCACTGGGGCCTCTTGCATGCCACCGGCTCTCACCCAGTCCCTTGCACACTGCCTATTCAGACCATGTTCATTCATACCACCCTACACAGAGATCCTCAGGCTTTGCTCTCCACCCCTCGATCAGCCCTGCCATGGTCTTTTGGGCCTCTCCTGTGACCCTCACCCAAACGGGACTGAGCAGTTGCTCAGCTCTGGGCCTACTTCACCCCTGGCCCCTCACCGGACCACTATGCCCCTCTCTCAGGCCACATCTCTGCCCCTTACACTCAGGCCTAGGGGCTTCCACCCCAACAGGTTCAGGTGCATCTCTTCCTTAAGCATACCTGACCTTCACTCCACCCTTTCCTCAGGGCCCAGGGTATTATACCCCTTGGGCTCAGGTACTCCTCTTTGAGAGTGCCTGGCCCACCTCCAGGATCCAACACCTCATGGGACTCGGGCGCTTCTCCTAAGCTTACCTGTCCCCCCCCTCCCAACTCTCTCTGTAACCCACCCAAAGGTGGGGGCAGGGGTTTAGGTGCCCTTACCCATCTTACACCGGGGAGGTGATCAGTCCTGGTATTTAAGTGGGGCTGCCATGCCACCGGCAGTCCCACCAGGCCTCCGTATCCTGAAGAGTGCAGTTTTAGGTTATGCCCAGGACCAATGAGGCCGCCTCCTTCCCCATAGCCTCACCTTTACCTCCAAGATATTCCAAGAGCAAGAGCTGCACCAGGCAATGTTACTCCCCAGGCAGCTGAACATAAGCTGCTCTGCTCTTATAACAGAGCTCTCCAAAATGGCCGCTCTCATGAGCCACCTGGCAGCTCCCTGCTCCAGCTCTTAAAGTGACAGGCACCCAAAAGGGTGTTCTCTTACACCCGGGATGGGTCAGAAAACATGGGGAATGCCTGCATCTGCGGTGTGTGGAGCCTCAGATGGGTCTGTGGCACCACATACCACACGTCTGCGCTTGTATGAACATGCCTTTGTTGTTCACTTTCATTAAATCTCTCCTTGTATTTTGAGGAAAGATAAATATTTTACCTTCTTAATCATGTCCTTTCTTATTCATGCTCTCTTGAATCTAACTAGTCTGGGATGGGGGGAGATGCTAAAAGTACTTGGAGGCCATATGTTTAGTTCTTGATGGGGGGATATCTTGCTCTGATTGACACTGATCCTGTTAGGCTGATTAGTATTATGATAGCACCAGACCTTAAATTAATATTTTCTAGTTCTTGGACTGAAGGACAGTGGAAACAGTAGCACAACTGAGGATGTAAAATAGAGGTTAAATGTAGGGAGGTCACAGCATCCTCACCACCACCTGGAGATTTCCAGGAAGAAGAAAGACCTTTCCTTCACTAGGCTCTGCTCCTGTAGTCATACCTCATTTTAATTATTTTAGTTAATTCCATGGCCTTTTACAAGTTAAGGAGAAAGCAAGGTTAGAACCCAAATTTGAAATGAAGACCTTGAACAGCAAATAGCTAATATAGGCCCAGCAATTTCATTTTATAACATCAGATTCAAAATTAGGGTCACAGTATCTAGAAAAAGAAGAGGAGGATTCTAATTATTAACATTTGAACACAAAATGATCTGAAGTATGAAGATGATAACAGGAAATGGTTTTTTTACTTCTCAGTAAAATCTGAGCCAGGAAAGAGATGCTTGATACCGTTTAAATGTACTGAAACTCAGTGATAAAAGTCTTGCAATTGATAAGCCTTTTGTGATTAGCCACTGAATTGATCTTAGATCAATAGAATGAGCTGTCCAGTGCAGCATACAGAATTCTAATTGGGAACTAGAGAAATTCAGGGCTAGACATCTTACTCCTTCATAATAAGAAAAGAAGTCTAGAATGTGAAAAAGGAACAGGAGAGCTGCTCAAAGTGTTTATTTGAAATATGTATAATAACATATTGAGATTATTGTATATCACGTCCAGACACCAGCCTCATCTATACCCAGCTCATCACATCAAAGTTTGATTAATCTTCTAAGGCAGGGATGTCAAACTCACCTTGGGCCCAGGATGGGGTCTAGATCTGGATCTGCAGGGCCAGCAGCTACTGTGGTGGGTGGGGCTGCATTCAGGAAGCAATGTGGAGTTGCTTTTGCAAGGTAGCATGATTCTGGGGTCAGGCAGCAGCACAAAGCCACATTTAGGTGGCAGCATGGGTCTGGAGAGCTGTTGGTGATGACCATGTCTGTAGGGGGCCAAAGACCCCAAATTTTGTGGCAGGTCATACTGTCCAACTTCCAGCAGCCCGACAGACTACTGGCAGGCCAAGTGGAACAGTTTCACCGGCCGGATTCTGCCTGTGAGATGTATGTTTGACACCCCTCTTCTTAGGCATGCATACCTATTCAGTGATGTATACTACAACCTATTATAACTCTCTTTTAATCTCACCTTCACTTTCCTAAGTGTCCGAAGTAGAATCAATGTCTCGTTGGAATAAACTGGTGTTTATGTGCTGAAGTTCATGAGTTTTTTGCCACATGTCTGAGATTGGAATCTGGCTCCTACAGTAAAATTACAGGGGGAAAAAAGTGATTCTGATATAACAGCCCCTTTCCTGCAGCAGTTATGCACACACACAACTTTATTGCCACAGACAGTCTGATGGAGACCTGTGGAGGCTGTTTAGAGCAGTAGTTACATGTGCACATTTGCAGGACTGGGCCTTTGCATTGAATGGCTTTCCTGAATGATTTCTTAAAGTCTAGAAGTCAAATCATGTTTTTCTAATGGTCAGCTCTGCCAGCTCAACTTACAGACGGAAAATTGAAATTGAAAACTGTTTTAGTTTATAGCTGTACGGATTCTGCAATCCTAGCAGTAGTAAAAATTGGCTGTGTTAGTAAGTCAGTACTGTGACTCGGGTACAATGGGAGTAGGCACCCTTTTTACAACAGTTCTGACTGTATCTCCACTTTGAAGTTGACCTACAGACAGGATGAATGGGGTTGTGTCTTGAGTGTACAAGGGAGGATGGAGAAGTTTTGCCTGTTTTCTTTTTTTCCTCCTTTTTCACCTTAAAAGTATCAGAAGTGTCAAGTCAGATTTCCCCTACTTTTACAGGGAGCACTGTTATTTGTGAGTTTTCTCCACCCTTAAGTGAAGGACTGAGTGTATATACTGAATCTGTAACAAAAATCATATCTTCCTCTAACTGTTTCTGATGTCTTATTCTTATTATTTTATTATTGTCAGTTGCAAAATCTTACTTTTATTATTGTTAATTGGATTTTAGTGTTATTACTTGGATGCATTTGAAATGTGTTTTATTTTATAATTCTGAATAAAAATACAAATCATATTAGACTTTTTTTTGATGTTATAGTCCTTCCTCTTTCCAGTCATTTGTTGATTTTTTTATTTTTATTTTTATTTATTTATTTTTTTAGGGAAAGTTGAGTGGAAAATACACTATTTTAAAATTGGAAGAGAACTTGGGGGGGGGGGGGGAGAATAAGTCCTTCAGACTTTCTTGAAATAGCATAGAAAAGCAAAAGGACACAGATCTCACTTTTCTTTTTTGTAAGTCACTGATAAAGAACTAAATTCCCTTCTGGTCTCCTCCTCTGCCCTGTGTTCAGTGGTTTTGCATAGGCATGAATCAGAATCCCTACCATTTTGATTGTTTTTCTTTTAGACTAAATCAAGCAATTATGAAAGCTGTAATTCTCTAATACTATTGAACTTATTCAGTGATGGTATATTTGAAAGGGCATGAGGAAGGGTTTGTCATGCAATGGAACAATGATGAACAATATAGTACTCTGTGATCCTTAACAAAACCCCTCTGTCTATATGTTTTGATTTTGTAGACAATGGCCTCTAAGCACAAAAATGCAAAACGAATTGAAGGGCTCGATAGCAATGTGTGGTAAGTAACAGAGGAAGTTATGTGCAAAATTCTGGAAACCCCTTTGTTGATCTCTCCCCCCCCTCCCCCCCTTCCAAATTTGAGTTGATTATTATACATCTCTGTGACACTTGATCAATGATACTGGTTACCTCTGCTGATGAATTGTATTTACATGCATGCCTAAAAGATAGAAACAGTGGGCCTAATTCTTTAGTGGGTAGTTAAGGCCGCATGTATTAGTTAATTATGGTTAAAGGTAAGAATAAAGTATCTCCTATTCTAAATGAACCTGTATAAAGGGAGGAAAAGCTCTCAGACATTGTAACAAGATCAGGTTCCACTTTTATGGACCAATTTTGTTGAACAACCTGGTTTTGTCAGTTCCAGCAGTTTGGTTTTGTATGTTTATCTCCTATCAGCTTGAACCTAACTGTTGTACATTTATGTGTTGCTAGAATTTAGCCTCTTATGTTTTAATATACTTTTAAGCAGGCCTTATTATTCTTATAATAATGTCACAGCTGTTATTGCTAGATAGTAGGATTCTGTTAGCCCTGGTAGTTGGACAGCTTGCTTAAATACACTTGATAGCTATGACAGGGGTAAGCTTTCATGCCTGGTGCAAGCACTGGCCTGTCTCCTGTCTATGGGCCAGCTGCCCACCTCACTCTCCTGCCATGCCTTGATGTAATAGGATGTTACTCAGGCAGGAGGCTGCCCATTTTGAACCCTGATGTGTAGGGGGATAGCCCCAGCTCTGTTCCATCCCTACATTGCAGCCTAAGCCTTGCAGATGGCATCCCAGGCAGCTAACCTCGGTCGTTCCCTTCGCCCATTAGCTGTGGTCCCCTCTCTGGGACTGTGACAGGAATAGAGCCCCAGAGGAAAACTTACCTGGTGGGGAAAGATGAGTGGAGCCAGCATGAAGCCACACTGAGCTGGAGGAGCAGCGGGCGTGGAGCTGCAGCCAGGGAGAATGCTGCGCCAGAAGGAGAAGAAAAACAAAAAGCAGTTGACTTGGGAGGAGCTGGGACTGGCTCCCACGTGGGAGTGGGCACATTTTATGGCCATGTGCTGGCGCCGATAGGCCGGCCGGCCCATTGAAAAGGGAATAAAAATCCCGCCGGACAAGAGGGAGGGGGAACCAGAAGTGGGTTCCCCGTGGGCACTGAGTAGCCCAGAGCGGAGCAAAGCGCCACTGAGGGAAAGTGGTGGCAGCCCTAGGAAGGGACTTTTGGAGATAATTCAAGCCCAGAAGGGCTATATTACTCACCTGAAGTAGAGCCGTGGACTCCTGATGTCTCCCAACTGGATTGGACCCACCAGGAACCTGAAGAGAGAAGAGACAGCTGTCCACACCATGGCAGCTACAAGCCAAGGAGAGAGGAACCGATGCCGGGAGACAAGGTAACCTAGGGTCAGAAAGAGGCTAGGCCACTCCCACGACAACCTGAACAGAGCGGGACGAACTGATGGCTGTATACGTTTATGCGATTCAAAAGGCCAAGACGCGTGTAATGGTACCGTAACCAAACCCAGAAGACCGGGACTCAACATCATTGGTTGGCATTAGGTGGGGTGTAGGGGAGGCAGAGCCCCAAATGGGAGGACAGGAAGATTGAAGGAGGGGAGCAGGAGGGATGGAACATACATCTTCCTCCCTACCAAATACATTTATTACAGCAAAGACATGGCAGGCGAAAACCTCTGAGTACCCTCTGGAATCTGAGTCAGTAGCAGGCTGTCTTTTCCTCAAGCTACAGTAACATCTGAAAAACTTGTACGAACCAGATGTACTGGTGAATGGCATGGCCGATTACAGGGACCTTCAGCTCACCCTTAGGCCCTGGCCCCGTCTCAGGACAGCTGGGACCCCGAGCTTCTTTGCTCTGTGGGCATCCCTTGCGGTAGGCTCCTGGCCCTTTTGACCCCACTCTGGGTCCTGGCCCCAGCATTGACTAGTTGAGTGCCTCAGGTCAGGTCTAAACTGCTTGCTTGCCCATAGGCTTGGGGTCCCCCATTCCTGGCTCAGTTCTCCACGAAGTGTGCCTGGCCCCATGGGATCACTCACCCCAGTGGGCTCAGGCATTTCAGGAAGCTTACTTGGCCTTCCCTGCACTAAATAGCCCACCCAAAGGTCGGGGCAAAGGTTAAGGCGCCCTGATCCACCTTACACTAGGAAGGTGCTCATTCTTGGCATTTACATGGGGGCTGCCATGCCACCAGCAGCCCCAACAGGCCTTCCTGCCCTGGAAGGGTGCAGTTTTAGGTCATGCCCAGGACCAGTGAGGCCTCCAAGCCATCCCCATAGTCTCACCCTTACCTCCAAGGTGTTTCTTCTCTGCTGGCTGATCACAAACTGCCCTTACCTCAGGGAGCTAGGCCTGAAAATGGCCACCCTAATCATGCACCTGCCCTTCCCTGGTCCAGTCCTTAAAGTGACTGGCACCACCAGTGCTGTGCCAGAATAGCACCCTCATGTCAGTGACAATCCTACCTTTGACCCAGGTTGGCAATCTCAGTTATTTTTTAACTGGGTCTGTAACCTGCAGTGCTGTAATCTTTACTCCTTTAACATATGGGGGTGAGGTACTGAAAAGGAAGGATCACCTGAAAGTAGGGAAAATGTTTTAGAATTCAAAAGTTAGCTTTTGGCAGGATTAAGCAAATAACTAACGAGCTGCATGGAACAGTCCATCGGCTGATCTGATTAGGAAGTTTTATGAAGCTCAGGACTTGGCTGGTTGATTTGGTGACCCTGGTTAGTTTGTTAGCTCAGCTTGCTTGGCTAGTTTCTCTCCAGAAATTCATGTCTGTTTCCACAAGATCTGCTGTGTTTTGAGTTGGGAAATCACCCCAGGGGTAGTGGTTCACTGATGCTTACCTTTAGGGATTATTATGTTGAGGGGGGTGCTGGTTTTGTCTGCAACCAGGATCTTGTTGGAGTTGTTGCAAGAGTCATTCACTGGATCCACTGCTTCACCAGATGGTGCTGTCTGATTTTTGGTTTCCCTGTGTCCACTTCGCATTATCCCAGCCTCCCCACTATTTCACTTCCTGTTGCTGGAGGCAGTTTTCTTTGGTTGTGTTAATTTGACTCATTGCAAATACAGCCTTTTGCTTTTGCTAAGGAGGAAATAGGAATGAGGTGATTTTATCTTTTTTTCCTCTCCAGGGTTGAATTTACTAAGGTGGCTGCAGATCCCTCAATTGTTAATCTTGGTCAAGGCCTTCCAGATATATCCCCTCCTAGCTATGTTAAAGAAGAATTAGCTAAAGCAGCAGCAGTTGATCGTCTGAACCAGTACACACGTGGCTTTGTGAGTATTTTTGAACATTGGGGAAAGTTTGCTATATGAAAAACTTCATGATTTTGTTTGTGATTACTTATATTTTCATAGTGTCTTTGATTTCTTCTGCTGAGCATTGGTGTCCTATAAGACTTTACTAGTGATTGCTAAACATCTCCAGTGAAGGTTTCTTTAAAGCAAACCTTTCACTGAGAACATCATTTTATAATGCAGCATATATATCTGATAGATTGTCATCAAAGATTGATAGCACGTCTTGTGTACAAGAGGAGGAAAAATGGGGCCACAGCTTTAAACCTATATTTCTTGACTTGGGTCAGTGTAAACAGGATACAAAAAGGACTGTGATGCGGTGATAGAAAAAAGTACCTAATGAAATTGAAAGGCAATACACTTAAACATATTTGGGTGTCTAACTCCTCTTTGGACACCTAGCTTTCATGGAGCTAAATAAAGAGAAACTTGCTTCAATGGATTGGTGCCACTGTCTTTTACTTAATGTGTAATTGTTTGTGGAAATCAGTGACTAGTTTTATCTGAAGCATGTGGCACTGGCCATTGTGAAAGGTTAGGTACTGGAACAGGTGCCAAGCAGCAGCAGTGGCAGCTCTGGCCTCAGCTCTGGCTCTTACCCTAGGGCCAGGGCCAGGGCCAGGGCCAGGTCCAGGGCCAGAGAGGCTGAGCTGGGTTGGGGCCAGAGTCAGTAGGTGCTCCAGGCCATGGGCCAGAGCAGGGCTGGGGTCATGACTCAGGGTAAGTAGGGGTGGAGGAACCAGGAGGGACAAGCATGGGGGACAAGTGGCAGAAGGTGGCAGGCACTGTGGAGTACAGGCATGGGGGCAGGGGCAGGTGGCAAGGGGAATACATGATGGCGGGCAGGCACCAGGGGCATAGCTGCAGGAAGGCCCAGGCATGAGAGGGACAGATGGCAAGAGACAAGGTATGGAGAAGGTGGTTAAGGGGTGAGAGTCAGGCTGCTTGACTCCCCTGCTACCTGCCCCCTTTCACTGCCTGCCCCCCTATTGCTGCTTTTCCCAACACAGTGGTGGGTGGGACAAATTTAAGATGACCCTCCAATAATTAGATTCTCTACATAGAAAATTATTGGGGGATCCTCTTAAATTCAAAGTCATCTTGGATTCAGGTAAATAGGGTAGTTACTCTCCAGTGGAGAGAATCCATTGAAGTTGTTATGTGATCCTGAGGATACTTTTGTTGTAGTTGATGTATTTTTCTCAGGGACTCTGTTGTATGGTTATTGTCTTAAACTGCAGTTTCATTGGAAAGTCATTGCTATAGTAAGACAATGAGATTCTGAAGATGATGAGCATTACATTAAGCAATTGTGTGGTTGTTGTATTTATACATTTGTATAAAAAAGTAATTAAAAATTTAATATTTTTTCACAGTACTAAACCTTTCACAGTAAGCAAAGCTGTGCAGTGCTCACCCTCAGTTTCCTGATGCATATAATTTAAGACACGCTTTGTTTTCTGCATCCTGAAAAGACAACATATGCTTTGGAAAGGGCAGAAATAACCCATGTACCCCTATGCAGTATGGGGCACAAATGGTTCTTAGAGTTTTAAGCTATTATTATTGTAATATCTTAGGAGCACTAGTCATGAGCTAAGATCTGATAGTGAGAGACATAAAATATACATAGAATAAAAAGATGGCCACTACCCTAAAACAGCTTAGTATAAAATGAGACAGTAGATGGATTCAGACAGATTGGGAAGAACAAGGAAATGAAGCAACAAGGTTTCTCCTTCACTGTGACCGTACTGTGCAAGGGAGGATGTGGGATCAAAGCACTCCTCCTGCACAGCAGACCTTTAACTAGGCCTAGAACACCAGGAGCTACTGGGGGTGGGTTGATGTTATTAGACAAATCAAAAAACATTCGATTTAAAAAGCATCGTCTGGTAGGAATTGAGAAGTTGCAATCTATACAATCCTTTCTAAAACACGCCAACGTTTTTAGCTTAACATCCAGAGAAGTTTAGGGGATGATCTTGCATAAGTCTTTAAAATACCCTTTATTTATTTTCATGTATATTGACAGAAATAAAACACGGCCCTAAATTTCCTTTAAGTTGCACCAGTAAGTTGCACCTACAGCTTAACCATTCTTCCCACTGCCATTTCTACTTGTCAAGAGACTGAACATGTATGTGCTGATTGTATATTATTGGTGCCTAGAATGTGTGCTAGTGGTTGCTTGTACTACTGGTTGCTTAATACTGGGACATGCATCCCAATGTGGGGTTTGTTTTTTTATTTGAACAGGGACATCCTGCGCTGGTGAAGGTCTTGTCCCAAGTATATGAGAAGATTTGTGGAAGGAAGATCGACCCTTACACAGATATCTTGGTGACAGTGGGAGGATATGGATCTCTGTTTAGTGCAATGCAGGCATTAATTGAAGAAGGCGATGAAGTAAGTTGCATTTGTAATATTCTATCATAGCCACCAAAATAAAATCTGTTATTTTGGTTGCTTATTTTTTAAGTTCTCGTTTATATAAATGTGGCTTGAACTCCTGTTTGACTGTCACAGATTAAATTAGCTACATCAGATGATTGTGTCATATAGACCAGAGCTTGTTGAATACTTTCAGAGGCTGCAGTAAAGAAACCATCCTGTGAATGCTTCCCTTCCCATTTGCTGGCATGCAAAACTCCTGTCCTATTTGCAATACCTGGAGTACAACACCCACCAATTCTTATTTTAGAAAACTTGTGGGTTGCTGTTTATATCAGAATAGCCCTCTTATTTCAGGTTTTGGTTCAGACTGTTGTTTGTGGTGCCAAAAAAGAGTAAGCTAATTTTTAAAGTGATGTTCATGCCTCAATATTTTGGTTTTCTACATTAGATGTGACAATTCATCTCTTTGCTATTACTCTTTGTCCTTTTTACTTTGATACTGGAATTAGCTTTTTAGAAGGTGGTGTTTATTGTCTGCAACTGACAAGTGCTTGTTTTGGTCTGGTACGCCGGTTTTCATCCTTTTATTGGTTTTACTTCTGCTTAGTCTTCTCATCCGTACCTGCTCTTCATTTCTTGGTGCTTTGATCTTCTGTTCTCCCTGCTTACCAGCTCTTGATTCTTTCCTATTAACACCACATTTTGCCATTGTCCTTTGTCTGTCTTCCCCACCTCTTCACATTTTATGCCCCTGTCCGCAAGCACGTGTAACATTAAAATGCAAGCCATAGATGTGATGTCTAACTCTGGAAGAAATGACTGCATCTTATCTTTGAAGTCTTATCAATATTTATTGTTTAAATGAAGTGGTACTTGAAATTATTAGATGAAAATTCTGCAGCATCAGACCAAGGTTGAATATCAAAGATGCACAGTAAAACCATGTGGCCAGAGTATGTCCAAATAGAGCAGCAATTCTCAACCGTTTTAGACTCAAGGCACTCCTTCATAGGCTCAAGGCACCCTATAGAAAATGCTAGCTCTTAGTTTTCACTTGAGTACAAAAAAATAATGGAGCAATTCTTCTATTGCAAAGAACTCAACTTAATAGATCACAACAGGTCAAAATGTTTTTAACACTAGGAATTCCTGTTTGAAATCTGTGTTTGTCTTGTGAATCATCTGACAGTGCACAACTAACATGCTAACACTGCGTAGCACCCCATGGAACCCTTGAACGGATCTTGAAGAACCCAGGGTGCCATGGCACCCTGGTTGAGAGTCACTGGAAAAGAGTAATAAGATATCTTTACTTGTTGTAATGTGTCAGTTTTCATTCTTTTCACCTTTTATTTCAGGTGATAATAATAGAACCCTTTTATGACTGTTATGAGCCCATGGTGAAGATGGCAGGAGCAAAACCTGTTTTTATCCCACTGAGAGATGTGAGTATATTGATTTTTAAAAAATATATATTATTTACTATATAGAATTCAGGATTCTGTTTTAAGGTTTGATAACCATGCTGTAGGAGATTTGTTCCTGCATAGTTTTTTGTAACATTTAACTATATAATAAAAAGTGGAAGTCTTAACAGTGGTATAATTCAAAAGCTTTATAGATTCAGCATTCTCAGGATTGGAAAGGGCATTGTTTCCTATTTAATACAATTTAAGTATTCTGAAAGCTTCTCAGGTCCTTTTATTAGACACTATTCAAAAGGTTTTAAGATGCAAAATAAGGAAAGGGTTATCACCAGGCAGTGCAGTTTCTGTATGTATTAGTTTCTGATCTTATTTCAGAAGCTGACATTGTGACAGGATGTAGCTTCTTCCCCAAATCTGCCTACTAAATTAGGATTGATCTTTCAGTTGAAAAATTTACCATAAATAGAATGTTTTTCCTTTGATTTTGCAGAATAAGTTCTGCTGTGGTTCAGTTTTAGATAGCAATATCTCCAATATTTGAAAGAAATCTCCTAATTGGTTGTTGTGAAAGGAGCAGAAAGCTTTTGTAACACAATCTAGAGTGCTTAGAATCGAAGCAACATAGTATCATTCTGCCACCCTATGGAAGCCACTGTACTTGCACTCTGGCTGGTTGAGTTTCCACAAAATTGGGAAAGGGACAAGACAGAACTATGAATAAGTAACTGCTAAGCAGTGTCAGCAGCATCCAGAACACTTGCAGGGATTTCCCTAAATAAGTGGAGTTAAAACTGTTAGTGTTTGTTTAGGTGAATGATAGTTTTTCAGTACTTACAGAGAAGGGTCTGTTTGGGTAATTCTTGGCCAGGGAGGCCATAGAATTAGAACTTCTGCCACACTAAAAACATAAGTCCTGTAGAATGTAGTGGGGGACTTGAATGTTCTCATGGGTACTTAAGGATAATAGTTTGGTGTGATTTCCATGCAGATTTCTGTACATCCATTATTTTCTATGTAGGTTCTTACACTTTGTCTATCACTATAATAGCTGCATACTTGAAGATGCATAGATGTTAGGGTCAGAAGGAACCTCTGTAGGTCATCGTGTCCAACCCCCTGCTGTGGGCAGAAAAGAGTGCTGGGGTCAGATGACCCAGGCTAGGTGCTTGTCCAGTCTCCTCTTGAAGACCCCCAAGGTAGGGGAGAGCACCACCTTCCTTGGAAGCCCATTCCAGATTCTGGCAACCCTTACTGTGAAGAAGTTCTTTCTAATGTCCAGCCTAAATCTGTTCTCTGTCCAAAGGACCATGCTCACTACCCTGTCCTTAGTTAACTGAAATGTCCTCCTCTTGCCTTCAGGATGCAGTGAAAACTGTATAATTTCAAGGACACAGATATTTCCCACTTCAGTTTTTCTTTGGGTCTTCCCTGGGGGAAACCATGGTCTGGTGTATAGCTTGCAGTATACTGAAGTAATGCAGATATTTATTCTGATTATAGAAAAAAGCTGGAAACTCTGCATCTAGTGCTGATTGGGTTTTAGATCCCACTGAACTTGCAAGTAAATTTAATTCTAAAACAAAAGCGATTATACTGAATACGCCTCACAACCCAATAGGCAAGGTAAGACTTCGTTATCATAGTCATTATAGTTCCAGAATGAGCGTTATATTCACAGATTAATGCACTGGCCCTCACTTTTTTGCATTCTAGGTATATACCAAAGAAGAACTCCAGCTAATAGCTGATCTCTGTATTAAACATGACAGCCTGTGTATCAGTGACGAGGTGTATGAATGGCTGGTGTACACAGGAAATAAACACATTAAAATAGGTACTGATATTTGTATATTCACATGAATGATTGTGGAAGGGTTTCATAGATGTGCTTCCCTAAGATACGTAAATGATGCTGTCAAGATGTTCAAATGGTAAGTTTAGTCTAATCTAAAATAATTATTCTCTGTGGAAAAATTACCTCTACATTTCAAATATTTATTTAAAAGATCTTAAAGGTAGAATTTTCAAAAGCTCTTAAGTGATTTAGGAACTCCAGTCTCATAGAAAGTTGTACTTCTAAATCACTTACAGATGTTAGAAAAATCTCACCCTAATTTTATTATTTTGATTCAGGGAACGGTAGAATAATCACTACTTCTATATCTACAGAGTCATGTACATTGCTGTTGAGATAACAGACGGAAGACAAGTTCGTTAATTTTCCCTTTTCCTTTCTGAGGCCAGGGTGTAACAAGAAATCACGCTATTTTTGGCTCCATAATAAACAGGAAAAAAAATCAGCCAAAAGAACAGCTATAGTGAGTAGAAGATATACTTCCTACTCTGTCCTCCCAATCATGGAGCGTATATTACAAATAACGAATGCTATGAACAGGAAGTTCTTGTGTTTGCCAGTGTTAAGATTTGCTGCTGGGCAGTGTTGCTATGCATGTTCCAGGGATGAATCAGACCACGGTATTTCATGCTGTCACTGTCCTTGAAATAGGATCTGATCTAAGGCCTTTTGTATTCACTGGGGGTACTCTTATAGACTTCACTGAGATTAGACTGTTCGAGCAGACGTATTCAGTTTGTACAGTCAAAATATCTAAACCATATGCCCTAATCCTGTAAGCAAGAGTAAGTACCAGTAAAGTCAGTGACATGGTATATACACTAAAACTAAAAATGGGAGTATATGCAGGGTTGTGATCTAGCTGTCATCTTATTTGAAAAGACTGAGGTATGCCACCTTAGCCATGCAGAGGTTTTGGATATGAAGGTAGCTGCTTGCTTTGGACTTACACATGGAGTTATAGGTTGTTACAGTGAAGATGAATGTTGTTGCACAACAGAGAACCCCCTTAAGTTTAAACTGCTGATCCCAAAAGGCATAAAATGGACTTGAGTGGGAGCCAGGAGAGTTGTGCTCTGTTCTTGGCTGTGACAGTGATATCATGTGTGACCCTGAGCAAGGTACTTTGCCTCTCTGTGCCTTGGTTCCCCTTGTCTGACGTGGCAGTGGTGATATCTACCTTTTATAATGAGCTTGGAGATTTACTGATGAAACCCCCTTGCAAAGGGTAATCGTTATTAATTAAAAAGTTTGATATAATTTACTATAGTGATGTTGGAATACTGGTAATTCAGTGAGTTATTTGCTAATCATAGGGGTGCAGTGCCAGTGCAGTTAAGGTTTCTTGTAATGGCTCAAGAGGTATGAGTTTGAACCTTGCCCTGCCTTTGTACTAACAGCCTAGTTGACCTGTTTTAAATGAGTACCAGGTTGTTTGGTTTGGGCAGTCAAGGGCCAATGGATATAATTACTCCCTTGTGTGCTATTGGCCTCAGGAACTGGTGAGCCTTAACCACATGAGCCTGATGAGTCAGGAAGCCTTGATGGACCTCTGACCTTGAGTTGGAGATTTGTACGTTAGGCTCCCATTGAGTGCAGGGGTGTGTGTAGGCCACAGGTTTTTTGCTTTTCTCCCACCTGGTGTTTTTTTTAGGGCCATCCTAGTAGCTCAGTGGTAATGGAACATGGAGAAAAGGGGAAACACACTGTCATCACTTTTTATTTCAACATTTTGAAGCAAAAAAAGAAAAATGAAAAATGAAAACTACCACATGAACAAAAGGCATTTTTATGACTCAGCATAAAATGTACATTCCATTGTGATAATGACTCAAGTTAAAGATTAAAATGTTAGTTAAGTGGGTTTAGCTGCATACTGCTAACAGTACGCAGCTAACATGGGATGATCTTGTAATTTATTGTTAAAATCTACATACCGTAAAAGCTTCAGGGTAAAAATGTAAATGATAAAGTCATTTTAGTAAAAGAAGCCAGACATACTTTTTTTACATCCAGCTCCTTAGTTTTTTTATAACTATACATAAAGATAATATAAGAAAAAATGAATCCACTATTTCAATATTTAGATACTGTAACGTTTCTATATTGCACTTCACATAGTCCATCAAATGCGGTGACACGTCTTTCATGAAAGATGCAGAATGGATATTGTATCAATTTACAGAGTCTGGTGGTGGTTCTTTAATATAATCTAATATGGGTTGCTAGCCATAGATCATAACATTAGCATAGTCTTTGTGCTGTCGCCTAGGCAGTTTCCTCTGGCACAGAACACTTCATCATGTCTGTAACCCTTATCTGACTTCTGTAAAGTGCAAACCTCCTACGAGTAATAATCAGAGTTGCTCTGGCAGATTTAGAAATCACATATTATAATTGAGGATTTTTTTGGCATCTCAACAAAGAGAGTAGCATCTCAGGTAACATAGAATCATAGAAAGTTAAGGTTGGAAGGGAACTCGGGAGGTCATCTAGTCCAACCCCCTGCTCAAAGCAGGATCATCCCCAACTAGATCATCCCAGTGAAAACTTTGTCTAGCCGGGTTTTGAAAACCTCCAAGGATGGAGTTTCTACCTCTCTGGGTAACCTGTTCCAGTGTTTTACTATGTTCATATATAGTACCTTACTGAGTATTCCCAGCACTTGGTTGCTTTTACAGTTATATTCAAACTTTGTATGGTTAAATGCAGTTCCATGGAGCAATTGAAAAAGTGTAACTCTCTTTTCAAATAAAATATTGGGGACAAATTTTTGGATTGGAAAAGCAATATATTGCCTTTGAGTGCGGTTACTTGTTTATAATCCTCTTGCTGTCTGTCATAGAGTCTTAAGAAAAATATGCTTGGCAGGGACCTCAGGAGGTTATCTCCTCCTCAAAGTAGGATCATCCTTGTCCCCACAACTGAATTCCTGGGATTAGGTGGCAAAGCAGTCTCAGTAAGGGGCAGGTGAAATTTTGATATTCAGAGATACTTCTCCATTTCTTTTTTTATTTTTAGTTTAACTTTGGAATTTTTCTCTTTGATTGGTGATACCCTCCATTAATGCACTGTAGCTTCTAGCTAGGAGCAATGCATATTTTATGTTTGTATGGCACATGTAGGTGCATTCTGTCCTAATTAACTGTATTTTGTATGCAGCTACTTTGCCAGGGATGTGGGAGAGAACAGTAACTATTGGAAGTGCTGGAAAGACATATAGCGTAACTGGCTGGAAGGTGAGAACAAGTGGAAAATTAATTTAATAAATGATAGCATGTATTTATCTGACTTGAAAATTGACTTACGTTCTGTCATTTGAAAGTTTATGGTACTTCCAACTCTTGAAGAAACTTGCAGATGATATTTATTTGGAACCACCACCTGTCTGTTACAAATGCATTCTAATCATACTCTATTCATTCTGAAATAAGTTCTTGTGAAAATGAAAGGATGGAGAATATGCTGTACAAAACACAATTTGATTTTTGCGGGGGAGGTCACACAGATAACATAGGGACCATTGTTTAGTTTTACAACATCCCAAACACCCAACAATCTGATTGTTTCCACTGAGCAGGTACTCAGCTCTTTAAAACAACATTATTTGTGCCCACCATTGTTTTTAGTCCACAAAACTGTACACATAAAACTCGGGTTCAGTGTTTCTGGGTGGTATAGGCCCTCTAAACATTTAAGCAGTAAAAATATTTCTTTGGAATACTGTAATAAAAGTAAGGGCAGTACATTATGTCTAGGAGATCACTCAGACATGCTAAAGCAAATGCAGCTATTTAATTTGGTGGCCAGATTTTCAGATGTTCATACATAAAGTATGCTTGAAAAAACTCATATTCTGAGCATCTTGCTTTTCTTATTCATTTGCTATCTTTAAATTACACCACGCCATACCAGCACCTCAGTGGTATATACAAGGACATATTTGAGTGGGTTTCTAACAAAGCATTGGTTTTGTTCTTTTCTGTACCTTTATAATTTACAAAACTGCCTTGACTGTCTTTTCATAAAATATTGGGAACAAATTTTCCGATTGGGAAAGCAATGGACTTTTTTTGAGTATTTTTATTTTTTGAAATCATCTGGCTATTTGTCATAGAGTCTTAAAAATATGGTTGGAAGGGACCTCAGGAGGTTATCCTGTAAAACACCCTTTATAACATGAAGATGTCTAAAAGCAACAGTTAAGGAATTACATTGATTATCACAATATGAATTACCAGTCTGTTTTCTGTCTTTTAGATTAATTTTATGTAATTTAGTAAAGTTGCACTAGTGCTTTTGGACTGATGAATGTCTCAAGGTTTTTTTTGTGGGGGGCTTGTTTTGTTTTGTGTTATTTTAATTTTTATCCTTTTGCTATAATTCCTAATTGCTTACGTGCCTCATCTTGAAAAAAAAATTATATGTTTTCTCCCTGCCTTAGCTTGGTTGGTCCATTGGTCCGCAGCATCTTATAAAACATTTGCAAGTTGTTCAGCAGAATACGCTGTATACCTGTTCTACTCCGTTGCAGGTGCGTATAAGTGAAGGCAGGGAAGCATTGTGTTTGAATAGCCTTGCAGAAAGGAACACAGATCTTTAGGCAATGTTGCAGAAAAAGTTAATAATGAATTTTGAGGTATCAAAATGTATATATTGTAGCTTGTTATGAATAAAAGTGCTGGTGAACAAGACAAATTAGAGAGTAGTTAACCAGACAGACATCTTAAGAAATACACTAGAACCCTGCAAACTTTCCCTTTGTTAATCTGTAAGCCTGATCATTATTGAATAAACTGGCCATTTCACTTCTTTCTTAGCAGTAGTGGCTGCTTGCAGATGTTTAAAAAAAATCCAAAATGTGTTTTATCAGAAGAAGCAGTGCATTAGTTTGACCCAGCTCTGCAGCATCTGTATAGATTGGGCACTTCAGCAGGGCTTTCAGGCACTTCTGTCTAAAGGTGATTCAATCAGCTATTAGATAAAAGCACCAAAAAAGCCCCATTAAAGTGCCTGATCTAGAGGTTGGGCAAGCCATGTCCAACTAAAGTGCTGCCTCTTCTCGGCATGTGCAGGGCTTGGTGTGGGAATGCGCCAAGTTTAAAGCACTGGTTTTTTTGGGGGGGGGGTTAACATCTACAAGTAGCCATTGTAATTACAGGATGCTGCAGTTAAGTTTCGTTGTACTAAGAATTTCTTATATCCAGTAGGCTACAGCTTGGTTACTAGTATTCAGTGATACTGTATCATCAATTATTTAGTCTGAAGTATAAACGTGTAAACGGGGTTTATGGCTTCCTCTGTTTGCAGAGTCTATGACCCTGACTAATCCTATTGGGTGTTTCCCATGATGTATGAAAAAAATTACATGTTATGATGCAGCGTGAGAAGACTCATATACTATGCAACATCACAGCAACTTCTCCCAGTGACTTCAGTAGGAAGGGCCCACTCAAATGATCACTTGTACACTAATCATGTTTGCAGGAGGCTTTGGCACAAGCTTTCTTGATTGACTTTAAACGCATGGATGACCCAGACTGCTACTTTTATTCACTGTCTCGAGAACTGGAAGGCAAACGTAATCGGATGGCTCAGTTGCTCCAAGAAGTTGGATTGAAGCCTGTCATACCAGATGGAGGATACTTCATGATCGTGGATGTTTCTGCACTAGGTTAGTGAACGTTCATTAAAGGAGGAGTGGGATCAAATGCTGTAGTGAAGGTTAAAATGTAACTTCAATTTTAACTTCCTCCTTTTCATTTTAAAACAATTTTTTTTAGGGCTGAAATTTTACATATTTGGTCTTGGCCTAATGTGATTTTTTTTTTTTAAGGTTCAACAAAATCCATTAATCCAATTTAGAGTTATATGGGATTTCAAATTACTACATTTACTTTTCATTTAACCAAATCCTGTGGTTCTTATAGGGAGGTTGTGAAATTGCAAGAGAGAGACGGTACTGAAAAGGACTTCTTTATGAAGGTCTAAAATACATTTGAGAATTGCTGATCTGTAGTTTAATATCTTGGACCCATATATAAAAAAGTTACGGTATTGGCTCAAATCCAATACGAGGTCGTCCATCCGTGTCCCCCCCCCCCCCAATTTAGCCCCCCCCCCCCCCCAATTTAGCATTGAGGGGGGAAAGCCTCATCTTGGATTTGAATATGGCTTGGGGCAGGTGGTGGCTCAGCTCTGGCTTTGGCCCTGGCATTGAGGCTGAAGCTAGAGCTGAGCCAGAGCCTGTCCCAGACTGGAATGACTCATTTGGCAGGGGAGTGGGCAATCAGCCCAGGGAGCATGGGATATAACACAGGGCGGGGGGGGGGACAATGATGACGGGACGGGGACGACACACGACACGGGACGGGACACCTGCAGTCTTTGTGCCTGTACCTGTGCCTGCCTCCCCCAACCTCTGCATCCTACCTCCCCTGTCTTACCCTTTGCTCTAGCTCCAGTCCATCTAGCCTAGAACCAGCCCAAATGGGAGCTGCTGCCACTTCTCCCTGGCCAGGCTGTGCTGGGCCTGGGCTGGAACTGCTACCATTGCTGCTGACTGCCCCAGGAGGGGCAGGAACAGGGGGAGCAAGAGGTGGATGAGGCAGGTTGCAGGGGGGAGCAGGGGATGGGAATAGATAGTGGGGCAGGCACTGGCATAGGGGGATGAGGAGCAGGGGGTAGGGGTCTGGCCCCTTGCCCCCTGCCACTGCTTTCCTCACCACAGCTGTGTGGGACAAATTTAGGCTGACCTTCTGCTAATTAGATTCTATACCTGGAAAATTATAACAAACATAATTTTCCAGGTATAGAATCGAATTATTGGGGGGTTGTCTTGGATTTGGATAAATACAGTACAGTATAACTTCATGAACCTGGCAGGCACAGGACCGAGCACCTGCCAGAAATGTGAAAATTCTGGATTTTTAAAACCGGAGCGGCAGTCAGTCCTGGAGCTGGGGGGGGGGGGGGGGCGACAGTAGCAGTGGCCAGTCCCGGAACAGTGGCACAGGGTACTGGATGGTGACGGCAACTGCTGCATGCAAGCTTCCACCTGTGCTGCTCTGGGACCTGCCGCCACTACTCCTCAGTGGAGTGTAGTTTTAAAAAGTGCTGGATTTTCAATAATTCTGGATTTTTTATATCTGGATTTATGAGGTTATACTGTATTTTCTTTGGTAGAAAGTTACTTTACACATTAGAAACACTTCATTATTGTCTAAATTTGAAATTATACCAAAGTTTTAAAATCCTTATGGAACTTCAAGATGCTTTCATATCAAAGGAAAATTTCCCCTAGAGCAGGGGCAGGCAATTATTTTGGGCGGAGGGCCGCTTACTGAGTTTTGGCAAGCCATCAAGGGCTGCATGACAGGCAGCCAGGGGCAGATAAATATTACTTTTCTAAATTTTTTAGGGGCCCCGCAGGCCAGATACAATGGCCTGGCAGGCCATATCTGGCCCGCGGGCTGCATTTTGCCCACCCCTGCCCTAGAGCAATGATTCTCAGCCAGGGTGTTGCATGATTCTTTTACGGATGCCATGGGGTACTGCACAGTTTAGCACTGCACTGTGTGCAGACAGCTACAACATGATTTACAAGATAACTCCAGTGACTTCGGGTAGGAATCCCTAGAGTTCAAAACACTTCTGAGCTTTTGTGGCCTTTCTGAGTTCTTCGCAACAAAAGGATTGCTGTATTATTTTTCTCTAGTCAAAAGATGAGTGAAATTTTAGAGTGGGCATTTCCTGAGGGGTGCTTTGAATTTTAAAAGATGGAGAACCACTGCCTTAAAGGAATGGCATCTAGTCTTACAACTTTGATTGACTGGTCATAATAGCACTTACATAGCAAATGTATAAAGACAACAACAACTGTATGAAAATGACCCCAGGCAATAGGTCAATATACATATCCCAATTTTACAGATGAGGAAACTGCAGCTCAGAGAGGTTGTGTGACTTTTCTGAAGTCTTTCAACACATCACTGTCAAAACCATGATTTGGGTGGTTGAAGCACAAGACTCAGTTCACCCTTTCCAGTATTTTTAGATAAAAATTGTTGTGACTTGTTAATGTTTTTTCTGACATGGTAGTTGTAATAGAGAAAGCCAAGAGTTTATTCTTCCTGGAATCTGGGAAGTCCTGTAATATTATGTTCCATCTTATACGTGTTTGTCATTTTAGATGTGGATCTTTCTGATATGGTGGAGGATAGGCCTTACGATTATAAATTTGTGACATGGATGATAAAATCCAAGGTAAGAGGTCTCTCTTCCTCAGTGACTCAAACACAGGTTGACATTTTAGAAATATTTGTATCCCTAAAGGAAAAATTAAATATTTCTGCACTGTGGGTGCCGAGTATAGCCGGAATGGGGCTGCAGCGATGGAGTGGAATTAGGCACAAACGCGTACTGGTTGAATTGAAAAGAACTTTACTTACAACTTGGCATACAGGGACTTGCGTCGATGCACCCAGTGTAGGCACCTTCAATAAGAGTTACACCGTGGAGCACATAAATGCTCCGTTCACAATTCCGTGCCGGCAGTTCCCTTTTACAATAACTTCCAAAAACAAAACAAACCGTAGGGAACCCAAGAGCTCTTCTCGCATCCAAAAGATGCAATTAACCGATATGGGGGCGTCCGGGGGGGAAAGGAGCCGTGGACGCAGGACCTTTGGTGAGGGTGATCAGGCCTCTCCGATGTTGTGTGGGTCCCAATGCTGGTTCCAGAAATTTCTCCCCTTTTATAAGCTAGAGAGCCAATCAGAATGTGCCCTGTGTGTCAGCTGACTTTCAGTCAGGAGACTGTGACTGCCGGCCGTGCAGCCACACGCCTCATTAACACTGTGATCGCAACTCCCTCACACTTTTTACATCAGACTGGTGTTTGGTCATTTTTTTTTTATCTATCATACTGGCGTTTGGTCACCTTTTCTTTATCACACGCACCTGTAAAATGATGGAACCAAAGTGTTGTCAAAATATAGTTTGGAGGGGGCCGGGGTTTGGCTGTCTGTACCCTATGAACTGTGGTACTCTGGTAGCTAAAATCTTGCTAAACACATTGTAAATGCAGCTTGCAGGTTGTTTTTATTGTTCTGTTTTGTCCAAGTGATTGCTCTTCTTCCACACACAGAACATATCTGTATTACAGATCTCCTACTGCTGGATGGCGAAGCTGGCATTACTCCGCCAGCAGAAAGAAGGGTTTTTCTGCCACTAGAGGGGAGCTCTGAGTGCAGGCACATTCACAGTTTGGCCAGCAGACACATGTCATGTACGCCGTGTTGTGATCGAGTCAGTCTAGGCTTAGCAAACAGATGCTAAGCTCAACGAATGCATAATCAACCTCCTTAGTGAAGATGAACCTGTTGACTTCAGCATTTCAGGTTTAGGTTCTGATGTTTGGTATACACATTCTGAAATGAGTCCATTCAGTTCTCATGAAGGAAAGGAGGGTTCTGAAATCAAGGCTGCAAAATTATCTAACTTAAAACTGATCCTTGTGTGTAGTAAACAGATCATTACATTTCATTTTTCAGAAGCTGTCAGCAATTCCTCTGACAGCATTTTGTGGCCTGGAGACTAAAGAGCAATTTGAGAAATATATACGGTTTTGCTTCATCAAAGTAAGTTTGTGTCTTTCTCTACAAGACTGTTTTCACAGTAGTGTTGGCTATTACTGGAGTTTTCATGCTTGTTTAAACTTAAGGATATTTTTGCTGTTAAGCAGCTATGATTATTTTATTTTTGTACTGCTGTTGCTGAAAAAATATGTACTGCTGTTTATTTTTGTACTGCTGTTTATTAAAAAATGCAACAATGAACAAATAAAGGAAAAAACCAATATAGAGGTTTACAGGGAAGATTGGACGTTATATTCTGTTCTGGTGGAAGGCTCTGACAGCAAAATGTCAGCTTATAATCAAATTCAGCAACACAAAGTAGCCTTGACTGCCCCTTTGTTTATAGGCTCTTCACCCCAGAAGCAGGTGGATTGGCTGAGAAGGATAAGTTGCCAGGCATAAGCTGATTCTTAGCAAATTCCCATCTCTATCTCTACTAACAGTATTCTGTTGTCTTGCTTTGTTTTGGAAGCTAGCCTCATGTTGAGCAGGCAGGTGACATCAATATACATGCTCTCTTCTAGATAAACTTATTCACTCCAGACTAAAGGAATCATGCTGGTGTTTAGTGGGATAATATATTCCAGCTTGTACCATCTTGCCTGCCTCACCCTAATCATCTTTTATGTCATTTATAATTAATTTTGTCTGCTTGTGGAAATTCCACTCACTTATCTTAAATAACTTAAGGTTTAAAAAGAACTCTAATTACAAAGAGGGTGGAGGGGAGCATGCCTACAAATGAATCAGAATCAGTAAGTTGCAACTTGATTAGCCTGTCATCTCTTCATTACAACCTTTTTTTTTCTTCCTCCTAATGCACCCATTTGAAGCTTTTCTTAGGAAATCAGAAATGATGGGTGGTAGGGACTGTGTCTTATACTACAGCTTCCATCATTTCTCCTGCTTCCAGTAAGTCTTGGAGAACTCTGAAGATAGAGTAGAAATAGTCCCTTGACCATAGCTGTGTGCACATTACTGTGCATATTGACTTAGAAAATGAACTTGAGTAAATGTTTGACATTGGTGTGTTGCTAGCTGACCAGTATGGATAAAAATGTTTTTTAATATAGTACCAGTCAAATCAATCCATAGACTGCTTGCGTGACTCAAAGCTGTACCTAAGTGACAAGACTTGACCAGACTACACACATTTGGAGAGGTGTTTGATCAGCCATAGCATAGCTTTGCTGTATGAGTATTTTTTTTAAAAAAAGAACCCCAACCCTGTCTACACAGATTAGTAAACTATGATAGCTTGAATTCAGGTGTCTAGTGGACAAGAAATGCCTTTGTATGACTAAATAGAGCAGACATGGCTGCACAACTATATACTTATGTCCATTGCATTTTTTGTAATGACGCCAAGGAAAGCCAAGAAGTTGTCTGAAATTTCTTGAGTTGGATTGTGACAAAAATGGCTGATTTGGGAAATTCTACGTACTGTAATGGCAGTTTTCTGTTTTTGCAGCAAGACAGCACTTTGGATGCAGCAGAGATGATCCTGAAGAAGTGGAGTAAACAGACAGCTTAATTTTGATTAACAGTGCTCTCTGACATAAGTATTATGTGCATTTAAAAGCAGATTACTTAATACAATACATGATGGATATGAAATAATAAGCAACTTTGTGCTGCCACTGGCTGAGTAGCTGAAATGGTGATTTATTCAATTCAAATAATCTGATTCAAGGAGTCATTTTCAGTCTTTTCCAAACTGTTGGCTATTTCCCAAAATGTACATGGGAGCCTATGCTTTTGAGAAAAATAAAAAAAGGTTTGCTAGGAAGTTGAAAAAACCCAAAGTGTCAATATTAAGACTTAACAGAAAAAAGAATTGAGGAAGTAGGAGCTGCTTCTGTTGTAGAAATATGGGTACCTGTGGGAAATAGTAGAATTTGAAAGTAATAGTAGAAAGGAATAGTAGAATTTGAAAGTAAATTCATTGGATTCCATAAACTACAGTAGTCTGATGCAGAGGGAAATTAAGATATGGTATAGGTTAGGTGGTTTCTATGTCCTTGTGCAGAAGGAGGGTTTTTTTGTTTGTTTTGATTTTCTTACACACCAAAATGAAGTTTACACTATTCAATCAATGCTGTTTTTGAGAGATAGGTAACTGTGCTACATACCATTATTTCTGTTTTAATTTCCCACAGTTGTCAAATTTTACTATTTGTGAAAGTGCTTGATCTTCAATAAAGTTCTAAAAGTAGCGGATGATGTAAGACTTTACTTATATATTTATACATTTAAAAAAAAGAGCTAGTCCAAGATGCACCTTGACAATCCTTAAATATACAGTCAATGAAGTAACCTACTCCTGCAGTCCCTTCACAGTTGTTTATCACTGTTAACTCTACATCAAAATATATCCTTAAATAAAATCTCAGGAAAACTGAAGAGTGTGGGCATTGTATTGTGCAGTTGAGGTTGGTGAAACTTGACTATTTCGGGCTGAGGGAGTGAGAAGAGCAAATCCTGAAGTGGATGAGTTCTCATGGAGAATTCCCACCAGCTGCCACCTCTTGCATGCATCAGGGAGGTTCTGGATGTTTCATCATCCCCAAACTGGTTCTCACCTGACTAAAAGCAGTCCAGAGAAGCTCCTGGGAGGAGATTGCTGTGTTCTTTTTCCATGACTTTTATATTGGTGCAAGGTAGGGTAGATTTGCACTCTATAGACTAACTAAATCAGAGGTGAATTATGCTTCCGTAAGCAGCAGTTTACTTCATTAGATGCTAAGGTGATCTTGTAAAGTAGAGTTGGAACAAGCTTAGTACATATTTGCAAAATATCATCTTCCTTGTTCTGCTTGGGGTTCAAAATCTTAAGGACTACCAGTGTGTCATGGGCTTGAACAAAAAGTGTCTCATCCAAAAGTAAATTTACTACCCACAGCTGAGCTGGCAGTAGCTGCCACATTTCTTTGTCAGTTTGTCACCGTGGCCTTGGACACCCATTCTCAACAGCTGGAACCTCCTTCATTGTTCCATCATCCAATTCTTAACACCATCACAAGAAATTCATCAGAAACCTTTTTTTGTTAAAGGAGATGAAGACTGTTACCTTTGATCTCCATATTGAAAAAGTTATTTGGAAATAAAATTTGCTGCCTGTGAGTTATCACATACATCCTGGGGAAGTAAATTCCAGGGAAAGCTACTTCATGTTTCCCAAATCCCATCGTATTGAAAATTCCCACAGTAAATTCTGTCTGGAAGATGTGCAAGAAACTGTAGGACATTTGCCCAGAGAACATTTCAGAAAGATCTCTTCCAGAGTGCTAGTTCAAGTGCAAGAAAAAAGTATAATTTTTCTTCATGCATTTCAGCTTGTAACATGACAAACATGTTATGATACCAGACTGTCTGTATCAGCATCTTGGCACATGTTATACTTATGGCATAATTGTGTTCTGCTCACATGGGCTGCAGAGCAAGGCACTTTAAAATGTTCGGTTGCGGGGAGCCAGGCTAAACTAGCAGTTTTTAAATGCCTTGGGGACATTGAGATGAGGGAGAGATTCCCTGATTCCAAGGTCTCAGTGGCTGGGGATTTCTAAAAGCCATGTCTGCAGCTGAGCTGTCCCAGGGCCATACTGACAATCAGCTGATTGTCAGACCTTGCCCCAACAGCCCAGGCTCTTCAATCACTCTAGAACTATTGGCACTGGGTCTGATAATCAGCTGATTGTCACACCTGGCCCTCACAATCTAGGGTCTCAAACTGGACCTGGGAGCATTGGGGCTTTAGGGCCCAGTTGATTGTTGTACCTCCTCTTGACCCAACCAGGGCTGCTAGGGCTGGGTCTGACAATCAGGTAATTATTGGACCTGGCCTGAAGAGCCTCTGGTCTGGAATCTACTGGTGGCTGGGGGTAGCCCTGTGTGTCCAGGACAGAGCCTCCCCTGCCCAATATGCAGGGTCAGGCTGGGGTCAGCTGAGCAGTGGCTCACTTGGGATCAGACGAATTTTTTAAAACCCCATCACAAATGTCAGTCTCCTGCCATGCCAGAAATGCATGGCAGGAGGCACGATGTTTGGAATGGGGCATAAAATTCCTCTGATCCCAACTGCATCATTGTTTTAATATCTACCGGGGGCCTTATACTGGGTCCAAAGGTGCAGGTGCAGTAGAAAATGGGGAGCCTCAAGGCATACAGCTGCCTTTTTTCACTGAAGTGTCAGTTGTGCTAAAACTAAACAAATGTCCCAGTATGAATATACCATAAAAAAGAAAGCATTTTCTCTGTCGTATAGATCAATTCTATATTCTTGTAGTATCTTAGTCTAATGATAAAGACTGTATACTGTTGGAATTTTTGCCTATCTCTGAAACGAATGCCTCAGTGCCTTACAGAATTCAATAATGTTTATATCTTCATATCAACATATTTTAATGAATTTGAATAACTTAGTATAATTTAATATAATTCAAAATGATAGTACTGATATGGCACATTGTTGTAGATGCTGCTATCCAAAATCTTCAAAAGTTGTATGGAGAGGTAATGATGCGGAAGCTATTTTTCATACAGGAAGCTGTCCTCACTTTGACATCTATAGAAAAACA